TGCGCGTGGTGTCGTGTCGGCTGTCTGTCGGTCTATCAATTGCGACTATCGATGCAACCTCGTCCCTGAGAAGCAACTAATAATTGGTCGCGACATGTCGTCTTGATTGTCGCCTGGGGGCGGCGCCATCTGCCCGGTTGGCCACTGACCACAAGCAGCAGGCAGGCCTTGGTCTAGGCGTCCAGGAGCTGGGGAGTTTGCACTTTGCAGCAGGGCACGCTTTCGACGACATGGTCGACACTGAACACCCCCCTCCCCAGAGACATATCTCGTCGTCGCCGACAGTCCAGAACCACAGGCTCGCCGCTAATGCAAGGCACATCCAACCAGAGTCCAGTGAGCTCACACCTTTTGATCTTTCCAGAACGACGTCTCCCAGGTTCCAACACAGAAAACCCCCAGCCGAGAACATGGTCCGGCTTGTTGTCACCTGCGGCCTTGTGGCATTCTTGCAGCTCTGCGGGTTTGCTCTCTTGTCGCCTCACCCGCCTGGCCACCCCCCTTTTCTTTGGGTGTGCCAAGTCGTGATGCCGAACGGAAGACCAAGAGATAGGCTTGCGTCTCTTGGGTTCTTTTCCGCTTCTTGGCTTTCATGGCCAACACACCACAATCCTATTTTGCCCGAACCGCTGCACACCTCCTTCACTCACTTATCCCAAATGGATCGATCGCATGCGCTGCAGGCGAGTCGACTCAGTCGAGTAGCAAAGGAAAGTGGGCGAACATTGACTTGACAGACACGCTACAGTTCTATCGTGAATCCCTCTGCTGTGCCTCAAAACGGCGGCTGTCAAATATCCCGCACTCGCCCCCAGATCGCTTTTTGCCGAGAACAGGATGATGCGACTGGGACTACATTCCACCTGTGACAATCGTCGCACGAGTGGCTCCTCCCTCCGTCCTCTCTATTTCATCGTTGATCGTTGGCTTCACGAGGTCCAACCGGGCAGAGGGGCAAAGTGAGCAGGCCTCAACACAAACGGAGACCTTGTGCCGCTTAGCGTACGTCGGCGACTCATGCACACAATGTCGGGGTGCCATCGTGTCATCCCCATCGCAGTGACCGCCCTGGCTATTCCATCTGATCCAAGGAAGATGACACAAATATTGGAGGAACACATGCAGCTCTGCACGAAATTCCAGAAAGCAGCAACTTGCGCAGACTGGTGGTGTGCGGTCTGACATCATGAGGGGGGAATGCTTGGTCTCCTAGGCAAGTGAGACCAAGAATGAACCGATGCAAGCTCCTCGTGCTAGACGATAGATCAATGTGCGAGCGTGACAAGCCCCCGGGTCGCAGGATGAGCTTGAATGGCCCCATAGGTGTTCACTACTTAGTACTGGAGAGGCGGGCAAGGACACTAGAGAAGAAGGCCAACGGGGAAATCCAAATACCACTGCCCACGGAATCTAGCGTCGGCCACGATACCATTGGATGCCGATGTTCGTCTCTGGTCCTAGCTCCGGAGGCGGGTGAGCTAACGGCGCAGCAAGCATTTTGTAGTACTGTACTATGTAGGCGCGGCCGGTGGACGAATGGGAGTTTACCCCTCACTGTCCCATCTTTGCGAATGGCACTTGCTATGGTTCAGTTCAGATTTGGGAAGATCCGGTGAGAGTCGTGAGGAATCAGGATCGAGACCTAGGCGGTCAGGGTTGTGAGGTGTTCGGAAATCCAGCCCTTTTGACAAGCTCCATGAGGGTTTTTGCCTTAGCCCAGGTCGGAAATTCCGACAGCCAGCCAATTTGCGATCACAGAAGAGGCGATCGCAGATGAAGAACATGGAGCGGCAGAGATGTTTGCGACGGATCTGCTGTAGGTCTCTTGACCATCTCTTGTCTCACTCACGTACATCTCTGTTTGGGTTTTAGGAGGGGTTCCTTTCTCTGCGACCAACGATAAGAGAGGAATTCAATTCCTTTTCCGAGCCTTTTGCTTGCAGCTTGACTGGTTGGCTCAGTCTGTCCTCGTTGCTGCTGCGGCTGCTGCAGTAGCCAGAGTCAGAATGGGAATGGCAGATGGGCATGACCCCACCCCCACGTGCCGTTGTGAAAGTCGTCTTCCTCTTTCGTTTGAAGATCTGACTTGAACGTTGATGAAGCCTGAAGAGCACCAGGCTAAGATGCCTGGTTTCCAAACTGCCGTTGATGGAAAACTTGGAGGGGTAGACGCTGGACCGGCTGATACTCGCCAACATCACTTTACTTGCGCACTTCCAAAACATGTGTTCTAGAAAATCGATACCATACCTCGCGTTCGCACCGCGCGCGTGTGTGTGGGCATGTGCGTGTATGTGTGTGTGCGATACAGCGTCGCATTCTGGAACAGAGCTTGTGAGGGAGATATCACGTCCTCGTCCCTGTCTCTCTTACACCCATGGGCCATGGATCACGAAGGACGAACTTCAGATGGCGTCTTTTGTGCGTCTTTACGGATACGTCGAAGCGTCTTTGCCCTGGAAGGCGACTATCCTATCTCAGATCTGTATCTGTATCTGTACCGCAGCGTAAGACCCTTCCACACCCTGGTCAAGTTTGATAGAGATAGGTGAACCCTGCGGCTGGCCTGCATGTCGCGATATCGCGGGCATCCTCCGACTCCGGGGGGGAGGGAGGATAGAGTTTCTCCCTCCCAAGGTGGTCAGATACGATTTTCGTATCATCTCTATCTGAGGCTATTCTTTTCATCGGTGCTAGTCTTTTTTCCGTGCTTTTGATGGATGATTGTGTGGTTGTTTTATCATGGGCTTTGTTGCGCCTTGCGATATGGGGGAGATGGGGCACGCCAGTATGGGAATAGGTTGAAGATCATGGCGAGTCAGACAGACGTCTTGACTCTTGCGGACTGACAATACCCGCACAGGCGGGCAGACTAGTAAACTTGTAAACTTGTTGGATCGTCATCGCTTCGGGATAACATTAACCACATCATACACAACTCAAGCATCCTACTGTGTGTATCGATCATTGGAGAGATGGATAGTGTTCGCTAGCTGCTTGAGCCTAAGACGACCTACGAATGCAGAGTACTCTGTCAGAGGGAAAGGATGCTCGGCGGCAGGAAACCTCGTGGGCTTCGATGTGCACCTGTCACCACCTAGCTTTGAGTCTTTCGACGCTGGCGGGATTACCGACCGGGGAGGAAATGTTTTGACTTTTTTCCCTTGTTGCGCTGTTGTTCGGCCGGGGAGATTAAGGGCGGAGGAATGGTTACTGCCGAGGGCCGGGCGGGTAACACGGGTATTTCTCGACCATGGTTTCGAGCGGGATCGCTTCCGGGCCCGAGCAGAGCGTGCAGACGGAGGCGCCGTTGAGTTTTGATGTTTGCTCCTTGAGAACGGATAGCAATCTGAGACTCGGTCAGAATAGAGTCATGTTTTCTCTTCTGTCCTTCTCTGTCCGATAATGAGCTGTCGCGAATGCACAGTGATGGAGTTGGTGTTGGTTGTTGCCCCTGGTAGAATCGGTATGAAAGGATCCTGATTTAGATGGAGAAGACGTAGGATCGTTTCTAGGTTAGCAGCGAGAGTTCCTCTCGGTCACTTCAGTCTCGCGTTCAGCATCAGTGTCCAGCCGAGCCTCTTCTGCGACCTTGCTGTAGACCAGTCCATGCCTGACTCTCGAAGACTCACCTCCTCGGCAAGTTGAGGTCAATCCATAGGCTTCTCCGGTGACAGTGTAATATATCCCGAGCCCCGTGCCACTTTCGACACACATTCCAGATTCTAGGGGTCTGATACCAGATGAACAGATATAACGCTACAACAAACACAAGCTAGAAAGACCAGTGTAGGGATTACACAAAGCCCCGTCCAGAAGTTCGAGAACATGAATCCCTCTGGTAGAACATCTGTAACCCCTTCAATCTTTCTTTTGTAAGGTGTGAAAGCCTCTTCAAAGTTTCCACATGGTAGTTGGCTTATATCATTGATCTAGGTACATGTTCTTGAGCTGCCCGAAACAAGGCCCGATCGCATGTAGATCTAGAGTATTGATAAACATACCTGAACCCGTTCCCATGAGCTCGAAACCCGGGCCACTGAGGCATTAGGATGATTGGCCGAGGATAGTGGCATCGTTTCGGCCTCCCGTAACCCTTCCTGTTGCCATAAGGTAGGTGACTTTCCCGTGACGTTGTTGAAGGCTGGAGGAGAAGAGGTATTTCCCTCAGATAGATACGGTCATTTGGCAGGATCCGTCTCACCACCCCTTGAACTCCGAATTCTATACGCATAACGAAGAGGACAAGCTATAGTCATAGCCTTCCGTCTTCACTGTCGGTCTCGTTCAGCTCAATCACTGAATTTGGGACGGCGGATTATGTGGCCTTAGCGGAACGGCAGAGGGACATCTCTTAGACCAAGGTGAAAACCGCTCGGACACAAAAGTTCTAGGCTCAACGCTCTTCTAGATCTCGACTTCTTGCAATCTATGGCATAGCATCCCAATCCGTCTGCTTATTTGAGACTCACCCCTTGAGAATCATCGAGAACCCCTCAGGACTTGGCTGTTAAGTCAGACATAAGACTGTCAAGGCTAGATATCGAACACATGGTATTTGTATGATTGACAGACCAACATACGGTCAGTTGACCAAAAGTCTTTTGCTATGGGTTGTTTTCACGCAAACCACTCAACTCGGCTGAACATCAGGGTAATAAGTCTAATCAGAAACCGACACTCGACACGACTAGTAAAGAGCTCGGGGCGTACTCTTTCACCGACACACGACGATCCCTCCTGATGCTTATACACAGTCATAAGTCTACTCATTGATCAGTTTTCCTTTGACCACCACATTCGGCAGGATCACGCAAATGTCACAAGTTCAAATCCACCTTAGTGTTTACGAAGTACCAATCTAAAGCTGCAGGACCAGCAACAAATTTCATGCGTCCAACGATTCCCTAAGGCATAAATCTATCCCACACTTACACGGCCTCGTAGCCCCAACACCGCAACTTGCCACCCTCCCAGCTTACACAAACTCACCCTAGGTATCAATTTAAATGTGTAGTGTTGAATGGCCGGTTGCCAGTGTCCGTGCCTCCGATCCCAGGGAACTTGTTGTCCGACAACCGAAGTGTGACGAGACTGAGGTCTCCTTTACAGGCAAGGGGCTCCAGGACATCCGAGATGGCCTTGGCCTGAACAACACCGGCCACAATGACGATGCGAATCTCCAGCTTCAACCTCCGAACACGGTCAACAAACCCCTTGATTGACTTGCCGCTATTCACCACCGAGTCAACCAAAAGCAGCGTGTTCACTCCCACAAGATTCTCCTTCGTGAGCTCGGAGGTACGGTTGGCGTGGATGAAGATGGCATTGGGGAACACCTCGCTGACACCAAGAGCCATGGGTTCACCACCGCGCATGAGAGCAACGATGGCAGTTCGGCTCTCGTCGACGAGTCGATGACCATCAGTATTGTAGCCCTGAACATGAGGTATAGGATATGTCTCTAGGCCGAGCAGCTCCGTCAGAAACTCGGTGGCGAGGTACCGCCCAACTTGTCCATGGGCCGCTCTGAGACCAGGACCGGCCACAGACGCGTCGCGTGTCGCAGTCATGAGAAGTTTGGCTGCACTCTTGTTCGTGGCATGTAGAACTAGTAGGTTGGCGTAGCGATGTAGGAGAGATTCCACGAAAGCTTGGCCAGAGATGTCGACAATCGGTAAATGCTCTGGATCGAGGCGTGGTGAAGAATGACTCGGGACCAAAGCCTGTCTTGGACGGAAGTTCTTGTCGCCAGTAATAGCCTTGGTCAACTCAGCGTCCATAGTCTTGCTTCTAAAACGCTCCTCGCCGACGACGACGATGGCTTGGTCGGCCCTCTTGAGCATGGGCAAGTCCACCGGACTGTCTCCGAAAGCCCAGACAAACACCCCTTTACTTTGCAGATGAGAGACAACAACGGCCTTTACCTCAGGAGTAACAACGTAATCATCAGCAAAGCGACCCCCACCGATGATCTTAACGTCATCATCGAGGCCCTCTCTCTCCAATATCAGTTTCCAGATTCGACGAAGCCCACACGTGGCGATGGCGATGCCAACGCCGCGATGGCACTTGACGGCATGAATCAGGGCCATGAACTCCGGGTATAGCGAGACAGCAGCGGCGACTTCCTCGCATACTTCGTCAAAGGCGCTTTCGACGTACTCATACAAAGACATGGCCCGGTGAAAGGTAGCAAGGGAGTAGTCGTTGTTTTCGCTGAATAGTCTCTTCAGGGGACATATGAGGTCGTCCCAGAGCCAATGCGATCCAAAGTTCTCCGGACCATCCCACACACAGTCAGGATATCGCCTCTGCGAAGTTGCCTTGAGCCTCTCCCAGAACATCGAGCCCGTGTCCGCTGCGCACAGCGTTCGATCCGCGTCCAACACCAACACTGTATCCAACTGATCGCGGTCTGGGCCCGAAAGAAGCAATCGATCAGTCTCGCTTCTTACACGACGAAAGTTCTCTTCTTCTGTTGTCTCAATATTGCGCAGCATGTGTTCAATGCCGTCAAAAGAATGAGGCCCGCCGAAATACAGCGGCATGAAATGCATGCCATTCAGACGAGAAAGACGGGATAGAGCGGCGATTTCGGAATTCTTCCATTGTGCGAGGTGATGAGGTTGTAGATCAGGGCGCGTTCGAAGTTCATCATAAGTTCGTTGATCCCATAGACTGATAGCGGGCATGTCCAGGTAGACGATGTGGGTGTAGACGCGCATGTCGGCGTCGGTCCACACAACGTCATGGGAGGGAGGTTTGTCGTTCCAGAATGAGTGATGGCCGGTGACTATTCCAATACGCCCAGTCGCGGTACATTCATCGGCAACAAATTGAATGGCTTGCTGTCGTTTTCGGCTTTTCGCATCGTTGTGAAGTCGCTTGAATGCTTCCAGACCGCCGTCGACGAGGTTCCCAATGACCTCGGACCCCTCATAGTACTGGAACCGATTTCCAAAACCAAGGTTTGTCTTGAGACGGCACAAGACGTAAGACTTGCCACTACCAGGAAGGCCGTATAGGCCGACGATGGTAGGCTTCTTGACGGAAGAAGTAGTATTGGAATTGGAGGCAGGCATATTGATAGTGGATGGAGAATGAGTTACTCAAATTATCTAAGAAGTGGCTATCCTTGGTCGGAATGAGGTTCGTTCAGCAGAGAAAGACCAAGCGGCTACAGTTCGGCTTATGTACAAGGTTGGAGCCTTCTCCCGCTTCGTGCTCTGAGAGGAAAGGACTTCCTAGGGGCAGTCATGAGACAAATAGCGGAAAGGGCGATTGGTTTGTTGCAGGCAGAAGTGATTCCCAATTCTAGAGGCAAGAAGTATTTGTCCGCATTGTGGCAACTTGTTTGCCTACGTAGTGTCTTAGTCTACCTAGAATACCAAAGACCTCCTTTCTCACTTGTGATGGTAGATTCTCGGCCGTCATTTGCCTGGTGGTGATACCGGTGTTTGCCTTGGAAAGTCCACCACAGCATCTCGGGGTCTTGAAAGCCGCTTGTTGCAAGCTACGGAGTTTCAATGCTCTTGGAAGTATGAGGAGCTTTGAGAATATGCGAATAATCAGCAATGAGGTATTTCCGTCTAAGGCATCCCGACAAACGGCAACAAAATCTCGTTTGTGCCCGCTAGCCCTCCTTAGAGGCTAGCTGCTGAGGCGAAAGCGATAACTATGTTTATGGCAATCTTATATTTCCCTAGATCTATGTATCCCTCCTCTTTATCCCGGCAAATGGGAGTTGGTTCTTTGAGGTGGGAATACATAATAGACAGCAAAACAAGCTGATTGAGGAGGATACCGTCGAATGTGAGCATTGTCCCTGTTATTTGTTCTGAAAAACTGGCTTTAATACCTAGATTTGCCTCCTCAACTATTTCTTGATTTCAGATGAATCCAGTACATTACATTGAATTTCCTTACATCGAGAGGGGTATCATGCTATCATACAAAGAGTTCTTCCCGTGCCTAAATTACCCAGGTAACATCCCTTCCATCCGTCCACCTAAATGTATTTCGTTCCCTCTGTGTCGGATCCAACGGTCGTGACCTCATCCTCTTGCCTCAAGGCCGCACCATCATCACCACGGCTCAGACTCCGGCCCCTGGATTTCTCGACATCCTCGACATCCCGTTCGCTGCCCTCATCAAAATCCTTCTCCTTCTCCCTTTGTGCCTCAACAGCAACCGTAGCCGCCACGACGCCAGAAACCCCGCCAACAGCAGCCGCAGCCTCAGCCGCCTCGGCATCCTCCTTGGCCTTCTGCTTCGCCTGCTGCTCCTTCTTCACGCTCTTCCACTCCATACCACCAGCACCGATGAACACGGAGCAAACCATCACCAGCGCGACCACAAACACAACCTTCAGCGCTCCGTTGTAAGCCTCCAGCACGGGTCCCTTCACATTATCCGGCAGATCTGTCAGTGATGTCGCGCCAGTAGTCTGCAGGTTGATCCCTTCGAGCCCAGGCAACCCCTTAATCCTCTTCACAAGCTCGTTGTTCAGCACCGTCTGCCCAACGGAGATGAACACAGCGCCGCCGAGCGTTTGCGAGAAGAACATGATACTCGCGCCCACAGGCACGTCTTTCAGCTTCAGCACCGTCTGCGCAGCAAGATTTGGTGCTTGGAACGTCATACCCTGCCCGATACCGTAGATGACCTGATACGCCGCCCACTTCGCCGTGCTCGTATCCACCTCAAGCGTCGTCATCAAGCCCGCGCCGACGGACATGATGCAGATACCGACGAGCATCACGGGCGTGTAGTACCCAATCTTGGTAATGACGCCTCCTGATACGGCCGCGAAGACGGTCATGGAGAGAACCATGGGGAGGGTGCGGACGCCGGACTCGACGGCCGTGAAGCCCTTGATGGCCTGGAGCCAGATGGGGAGGTAGTACGCCATCAGCATCATCTGTCCGCCGAGGGAGAAGGCAGCCCAGGCGGCGAAGGCGATGGAGCGTTGGCGGATGATGCGAGGTGGGACGGTTGCGGTGTTGGGGAGGAGGATCTGAATGGCGATGAAGGATAGGAGAAGGACGACGGCGAGGACCAGGAGAGCAATGATTCGGCCGTTGCTCCACTGCGATTCATCAGTCAATGTTTTTACTTTTAGAGAATTGGACAGAAAGGGGGCAATAAGGGATAAGATAGGGGTGAGAGGAAGGGAGAATCGTGGGACTTACAGCATACTCAACACCACCCCATTGCAACGCAAGAAGCAAGCAAACAACGCCAGGAATAAACACCGACGTCCCGGCAAAGTCCAACTGCTTCAACTTGTCCCACAAGGAAGACTCGGTAAGATTCTGCTCCGGCGGCCTCATCACAAACGCAATCACCACCAGCGCGACGCCCCCGAGCGGCAGGTTGATGTAGAAGCACCACCGCCAGGTAACCTTTGTCGTAAACGCACCGCCAAGCAGCGGCCCGATGACGGACGCAATACCAAACACGGCCCCGAAGGCGCCCTGGTACTTTGGCCGCCGGTGCAGCGGGACGGAGTGGACCATGACGACGATGGTACCCGCAAAGATACCCGCACCGCCGATGCCCGCGATGGCGCGGCCGACGATGAAGGCGGGGCTATCCGGGGCCGCACCGCAGACGGCGGAGCCGACTTCGAAGAGGACGACGGAGCAGAGGAAGACGCGCTTGATTGGGAAGAAGGCGTAGAGCTTGCCGAAGAGGAGCTGGAAGGCGCAGGTTGTCAGGAGGTAGGCGCTGCCGTACCAGCCTATGTCAGTGACGGAGTGGAAGTCGTCTGTGATTTGGGGGATTGCTGTTGCGATAATGAGGCGGTCCTGTTGGTGGTGTTAGTCTCACGAGAAAGGGGGTGGGAGGATTCTGGGGCAGGGTCATACCAATGCGACGAGGAACATGGACACCAAGATGGAAAGCATAATTAGGAAGAGCTTCACGCCCTTTGGATACTGGATCGATCGCGTCGTCGAGGTATGCGTGAGAGCATGCTGAGCGGGTTGCTGTTCCTCTTCATCGTGAATCTTACTCGTCCGTGATGAGGCCGGTGGTTCGCTCGTTGGCGTCGTGGCGGGGACGGCGCCCTTGTCGCGCTTTTTGAAGAACATGGCGATGGTTTCGATCTGTCGTTCGTTCGTAGTCGTCCAATCCAGGAAACCCAATCACTCTAAGCTTTCGTTCTTCTAATTCGGTCTCTCAAAGTTGTCATTCGTCTGGTTTCGGCTCGTAGCTGACACTCATAGAACAATAACAACTCGATGTCCCTAGTTATGAACCATGTAAATCTCGAATGCCTAATTGTCGTGAACTGAAGTGGTAGTCGGCGGAGTTGCAAAGAAGTCGACGATGATGAAGAGATAAGTAGGCAATCAACACGTTCAAAAAGAAAAGAGTCATGCCAAGTACATATATCGCATTTCCTCTAAACAAGACAAAACAAGCCTATTCGAAACAAGGAAAACGAATTACCCTCCGAAAAAGGACGTAAGAAACGTCCGGTCACGACGAAGAGACGACCTAACGCATGTCCGCATGACGAGGACGACTCACATCCAACACCCGTTCGGGGATTTCTATTCTCCTTTCTTTCTTACCTCCTTACACCCGCCAATGACAGCAAAGCACCAGACCAAAGAACCACCCTAAAAGAGCCTCCAATCTTGGCTCCCGCCCGCCCGCTCGTGTCTAGCCACGCGACCTAGACCCCAAAGACCCAAAGAACTTGAATGAGTCTAGGTCGGTCTGACTCTGAGCCAGGCTTCATTCCCAGTTGAATCCTAGACAGTGGAATGTGCCTAATTATGATGGACTCCTTCGCGGCTCATGCTTACGTACCCACAATGACTTATCCACAACTTCACCAAAGTCCATCCAACAAGAGAAATGCCGGGCGATTCTCGGATCTTAGTATTTCTCAATCGTGAGGGAAACCATACCCGCTTATAGACGGATATAAACCAAGCGCATACGTGGGTAAGCAGTCGGCATTTTCAATGCCGACTCACATATCTTAGTCTTCACTGGTGCAGTAAGTCAAGCCTCACCGTAACGCTTAAAACCAGCAGACTGTCCAATCAGTTAAACGCCACGCGCAGCTGCAATTGGGAAAACAACGAAAAAGAGGAAGAGAGGAAAGGGAGCAACACGCATGAAAAGGGAGTCGTCAACCCATCATTCCATACTGGCCCATCAGGCCAGACGGGGCCGAGCGGGCTTTGGTAAGCTCCAGGTGAGAGTCCTTCGCCCCGACTTGGGTGTTGTGACTCTTGCGTGGCTCATCAGAACAAATAGAACCAGGCGGACGGGCATTGAATCCGGTTTAAACTAATCCACTCAAAGAACCCCCAAGCCACAAGAAAAACCTCGGGGATTTCAACACCAAAATGGGTAAAGTCCCAACCCAACCTCGGTCCCGAAGACAAGGGTCGGCTCACGGGTCCATCGTTCCCCGATGTGCCCGAGCCTCCGGTCGTTTGGTGCTCTTCACACACATGTCTCTACCAGACGGAATGAGGGGGGGTCGGGGTGAGTATTCCGCTCCGCTCCGTCCACGGTCGAAAATACACAGCCCTCAGCCCTGAGCCCGCACTTGTCCTGTCCGTCTCCCGTTCCTTGATTTTTTGGGGGGGGAATCTTTCTATTGACTTCCCGGATGTTACCCACCTAAAAAAGATAATTATGACTCTTATGCTTCATTCTCGCACGGGCTCCTTTCCCGGGCCCGAACGAATCGGAGTCCTCCGCCTCGGGGGTTTACGTTTGAATGAGGCAGTTGGTTCACCAAAGATTCGTGTAAACTCGGGAACCAGAAGCCCGTATTTGAGGTCATACGGACGTGGCCGTCATGGATATATCTCCATTTGCGGATAGTTCCCTTTTCCCCATACGGACAACATTGCAGTTTTGTTTCTTGGAAGGAAAGTGTTAGTTAGGTAAGACGGGCATTCGGTAGATTCAATATGTCCAGCGGTAGTTTACGGATCAATGCCTCTGTCTTCCCATGAACGGTGATCATGTACACCCTGGCCAATAGTAGAATCGTCTCGCAAATCGTAACCGGGCGGGGGGCACTTGGAAGATCATTCGCCGGGGGGGTTGCGACTAGGGAGTAAGTAAACTGACAAGTCGTTCCATCTGCCTGCCCGCGTCGTCAGCCCATAAGGGAATGCATATGCAAGTCTCGTATCCTGAGTAGCAGACAGGCAAGGCAGACAGGCACCAACAAGACTCAAGTGACGTTGTATGATGTACGGATAGACCCGTCAACACTGGAAACTGTGTCATCTCGGAAGAAGTCTCCGCAAGGTCGCCGATAAGTCAACACCACCACTGCCAATCTTGCCCCTTTTCCGGTCAGGAGGGAGCCAAAAGGTCCAAAGGCGACAAGCTTTATTCAGCTCGACAGGGGGCTGATAGTAAATCATCATGCCAAAACGGCTTCTGCCAGGGGAAGAAGGTGTACGCTTGTTCTTTCCATAGACTCCCGTCTATTTACCATTAGGTAGCTTCGTCATCTCATGGTACTATCGTTACAGAGGTGGGAGAGTTGTCTCTTTGTAAAATCCTAAACACCAAAAGACAAATCCAAATTCCAAAGAATGCCCCCAAAGTGAATAACCCCCGGTCTCCTTTCTACTTTCAACGAGAGATTGATTTGCAGATGCCCCGGGTCCCTACGCACTCCCTTTCTTTCCCATTTTCTACCCAGGCACCGGAGCTAGCATGACGTGAGAAATCCCAATAAATGCCCTGCCGGATGTTCACCATCCTCTATTTGTTGGTGGCACACCGAAATTCCCAAATTGCCCAAACATGTTTGACGAAGACTGCTGGTTCATGTTGCCGTTGGGAACACCCAAATCCGCCCACATGTCCAAATCGTAAAAGTTTGTGGTGTCGAGGAAGTTGCCGAGGAATTGGTCCATGGGCTGGTCGTTCCGCGGAGGGATTTCCATCTTCATCGTCTGTGCCGGCGAAGGCCCGCAGGACGACGCCTCTGAGCTCGTCTGGGGCACGGTGTCCTGCAGTCGCGGGATGGCAACGGGCGTGTCGTAAGGCAAGCCAAGTTGGACTAGCGCGCGCTCGCGTGCCCTCCAGGCCTTGAGCATGTACACGCCCAGCTGGGTGTTCTCCTTCTTGGACATGTCCCACAGCTCCTCGTGGTACTGATATATCCTGTCCACCACCTTCCACGCGCGATCAGCCAATTTGCCCGTCGGTCTCTTGTATAGTTGTCCGGCCATGACGATGAAGACGTCGATTTGGAAGTGGAGCTTGAAGAACCACACAAAACCGGTGTTCTCCATAAAGTCGTACAACTCGACGTTGTGCTCGTGGTGCATGAGCGATATCCGGAACATGTTGTCCTGAACGTTGAAGATCTCGGTGCCGAATTCGGGCAATTCACGCATGGGGATCATCATGGCTCGCATCTTGTCAGTAACCATGGATCGGATCTTGGTCGCCACGATGTGAATGTTGCCAGCCAGGGGGTCGCAATATCGCTTTTCGAGGGCTACAAGTTTCGCATCGAGGTTGTCGACCAGTGCCCGGTACTTGGCAAGCGAAGTCTGGGTCGCTATTTGAGAATCCTGGCTGTCGTTTTCCATGGCACCGAGAACGACGGCTTCGAAATCGGGGATGCGGTTTTCGACAATGAATCGACCAACTTCGTACAAGAGCAGGCAGAAGGCCATTTCTGTCGGGCCTTCACGAGGCTGAACGGGCTCGGTCGATCCGGGGAAGAGGTCGGCATCGTTTACGTTTTGCGGCGTGTTCGTGTCCCAATTCCATGGCAGCAGCGTGTCGCAGAATCCCGATACCATGGCATATTTCGTGTCCAACATAATGATCTGCCACCACAGTCGTCGTCGCATTTCCGTCTCGTATGGAGTGAGGTTAAGCAGCTCTCCGTCCCTGTGAAGTCCCATCTTTTGCGCAATACGAATCAGCACACCACTGAGCACCCAGGCCGCATGACGGTTGTATCGCCCCTGAAGAGATACCTGTCTGCTGTTAGTAAGGCAAATTGACTGCTGTGGCGGAAAAGATCGCGACGGACCAGATAGAGTATCAAAGCTTGCAGCGTCATCAAGTCATGGTTCTTGAGGAAATTGACCTTGGTCAATGCCGCCTTGACGCCAGCAGTGAACTTCTTGAGCGCCTCCTCTTTTGACATATCCAGCATCTGTCTGGCTTCTGATTCGGTCATGGTGAGAGATGCGACGAGGTAGATGGCAAATAGCAGAGCCTGGGCATTGTTCGCGACATTGGAGTGGTTCGCAGCCGCTTCCACGACCAAGGGCTGCAGACTGGGTACGTGAATGAGTTTGGTGATTGGGTTGACCCTTTCCAAAAACACCTGCCAAAGTCTGAATATTTGAACGGGAGACGGAGTAACGTCCTCCAGGTCGATCGCGGCGATATCGTTTAGAAGTAGATCTACGTTGTCGTCGGGGGTTACGGCGTCGGATCCTAAAACACTCTGTTCCTCTTCCTCGGCTTCGATAATTTGTCGCATTGCGGTCAACTACGAAGAGGTCAGACCTAGCCGGCGCAGGTAGAGAGCGCGCGATGCGTAAAAGGGAGGCGCATCGGACTACGAGCTTCGCGGTTACGCACCTGGTCATGCACTGTTGCCCACACATAACTGTCCATGAAGCGGACGCTGCCGTCTTCAACTACGACTTTGCCCGCCGGCTTCCAGGATGTCGTGGGTGGAGAAGTGTCCTCGGATACTGAAGCGGACCCCGAGGGCAGTGGCAGCTGTGGCATACTCGGCGATGGCCCAGCCGAAGAAGGCGTAGCAAACGTGGTGGGTGAAAGCGTCGCCGCCGTCCCGGGAGGCGTCGTATCGCTACCTGTCGTGGCATACTGTTTTAGTAGAGCCTCGCATCTAGCGAGTCTTTCTTGTAAGTCCTGGTTCGGCCTCCTGCGCTTGCGTGCGGGAGCTGGTGTTGAAGGTGTACATGTGACGTTGGCCTAATACGGGTCAGAACGTATTCGGGATTCTGTATCTGTACAAACGAAGGCGGCGCACCTTTATACAGTTAGAGCAGGGGGTGTTGCGGTCGCATTTGATCTTGCGATGTTGGCAAAGAACACAGGCCAGAACCCTCTGGCTCTTGTGTTGACTGGAGTTGGTACTCATTGGTAGGTAGGGCTGAGGCTGAAGAGCCTCGCGGTTATGCAGTAGTTGCCACGGGAAGAGTGTGAAACAGGACGGCGTCGTCCATGAACGGGGGGCAACAAGACCCAACCAAGTCTTTAACACGCGTGGGCGCGAGGCCCTTATGGATGATTCCCTGGTGGGCGGAGTCCGTCGGTGAGAAAGTTGCAAGGGGGATCCGTTCTAGTGTATCCGTAGTAATAGAGAGATGAGAAAATAAAGATGTGGCGACGAGCTGAGACCCGAGGGGTAATAAATGCAAACGGACCTAGACGCGACCCTAAAGTGGGATGAAGGAAGCCCACCCCTCTCTTTGGCGAGGTTCACACAAGGCGGGCGCGTGCTGTGATCTGCCGTAATGCCAAAGGTAAAGTTTTTGGCTTAGAAATTGGCAGAAAGTGGAATCCCGGGTTTACTTGAGTCGCTTGGGTGGTTCCAGGCGTTGTCGATGACCAACCAGGGCGGAGATGGGCGCTAGAGACAACGACTTTGAATCGTTATGCTTCCCCGGGCGTGCGGTACGGCGAAAGAAAGGTGGGAGGGGGAGGGGAGGGTGTCTGTGAGTCTTTCAAGCCAAACCCGTACGTGGGGAGGGTTGATCGTGGGCTGGTCCGGGACGAGCGGACGGGAGGCCTGGCCCAGGGTCGAGACAAGACAAGGTAGGTTGGGTTGGAAACCAGGGCGCCTTGTTTGAAAAGACGCGTGTGCAGCGGTGATGCGGGAGAGGAGGATGCCTGGCGGTAGATATGGATATTGGCTCCTTTAACCCCTGGCTTCGCTTTTTGCTCACCCAACTCGTTCCTGGCGGGATATGAGTTGCGACTTTTGGTGGGATGGATGTGGCAGGGCTGGGGCGTAAGATGTGAGTGTGTGAAGTGTGAATTGGGCGTGGAGTTTGGGGGTGAGGGCGGCGGCGGTGCGGGACGCGGCGGCGGAATGCGAAGAGAGGAACGACAAGGGCTTAAGAGACTGTTGAGAGAGGTGTGTGAGGTGAGAATGAGAGTGAGAGTGTGTGTGACAGAGAGTATGTGTGCTGGCAGCCCTGCCGGTACAGAGTATGTAGTCTGGTATTGTAATGTAAGGCAATGAGGCGTAGTCGCAGGACGGCGTCGGCGACAGCGGGCCAAGAGAAAGAAGTACGAAATTGGACGTCAAGGACTTCTGTAGTAGTATGGTATGAATCCGTTTGGTGAGGGTAGAAAGGCAGGGTGGTCCAGCAGCGGAAACGGGCGCGGGTCTCACAGTCACTCGGCCTGACTCGTCGGGATTCCAGGAAACCCGATGCAGCGCAACCCAGCCAAGATGGAGAAGTGACCACTCGTACGTGTCGGCAGCGTCTCACCGGGGGTAGCTTCTTTATCCGCCTGTCTGGCTCTTGGATCTCGACTATAGTGGTTGCTCAAGAAGAGGAATTTGTGCTTTTCGAGTTTCTTCAATGTTGTCTAGACGAGAAGAGAGTTCCGTCGTAATTCTGACAGGGACGACGTTGTTGCGGTTGCGAACAACTGGAGAACCAACACCTTTGGGAAAGGGACTTGACAGACAGCAAAAGCTTAGGTAGAGTGGAGGGGAAGGTGAAAAGACAAGGGCAAGTCAAACAGGACAGGAGGGGTGGTGGATGTTCAGGTCGTCGGAGGGAACGGACGAAACGGCGGAGGAATGACGCCAATACCCTCCCACTACATATGTAGGCCAAATGCCCAGGTGGACTTTGTGCATGTGCGGTCCGTCTACTGCGTACTCGACCTATGCGTCTAATGGTACGGTAGTAGCGGCGGCAGGTCCAAAGCGGCCGATGGAAGGTAAGAGAACCCTGAGACAGCCAGGGCAACCTGTGTGAAAGCTGTGTGAACTGGTCCACCGAGGCCCGGAAGCTCTGGGCTTCTGGTTACGCAGTATAAATGAGCGGGTGTGCCGATGGGGTAGCGATCGGGAGTTCGAGGATCAAGGAAGATCAGCTCCAGGGTTCTCAGCGGCGACCACCTGCAAGGTCAAGTCAGATACGGAGTAGTGTGTGAACTGTACCGTAGAGGCAATGTGTGCGGCTGCCGATGTAGGGCAGTAAGGATGAGGAGGGCTGGAACAGAGTGACGTGGGACGGAAATGGTGATGCCGCAAGGAGTTCGGGAACAATTGGAAGAGATCAACTTGAGTTGGGAGATCCAAGGTCCAAGGAACTGGTAAGAGACATTTACTATACAGACGGATAGACACGAATAGCCATGAAGACAGGGGGCCGGGGTCACAGAGTTCCTGACAGATTCAACCCACGTCAAGGAGCCCTTTCTGCGGAGGTTCTTGGTGGGTTGCGGAGGGGAAATGACGGACGAGCATTGGATGGAGGGGTGGACTGGAAAGTGAGCCCAGATGGAAACAAGAGGTCCGAGATCCATGCCATGAAGGAGCATGAGCCACAATGAGCCATACCTGACGGTAGCCAACTCCTCATAGTCTCTCCTACAAGTGAGAGAGATTCCAGCATCCTTAGTGTGAGAAATAAAGTCCCTCCTTTTGGGCATGCGTCTAAAATAGCGGACAACGCATCGCATCCATCAACTATTGGCTCTCTTTCCCCGCGCACATATGAGGCAAGTGCCTATCCGGAGAGCCAAGCAACCGTTGGTTCTTGTGTCCATGGCCTCATATCTAGCAGCGGGCGATGCCCTGGCGGCATTGCGTCAAGGCACGGAGCTGGACCAGTTTGCATGGGCGCACTGCCGTACTCCGTAAGCAAGGTGGCATCCAAGGACCAAAGAACCCATACTGCGTAAGGGTGGTAAAGGTAGGTAAGAATCCATCCATCTCACGGGCTGTCACTTGACACGTGTAATAGACACAGGGTGCCTTACTTGAGAGATGATGGTGGGCAGCTATCGGAGGGATACAGGCCCGACCTTGAACAAATCGAACGCAAGCCGAGATCCAAGATGCCCGAAGTGCGAAGAGGAGGGGGGCTTTTTGCTCGCCGAATCCGTGAGTTTTACGGCGGCTGCAGATTGTGCACAAGGAAATCCCGTCGTTCCATTGCATGCGGCTTATAGAATTGTGCACGGGTAGCAGCCCGCGACGAGAAATGTGCAACTTGCACAAACCTTGGGGCATCTAATCACTCCGAGCTTGACCAAGTGACCACTGGCACGTGCTGTCTTGCACAATAGAGACAGCAAGCCAGATCCCTACTTACATACTGCATACAGTTCAGCCATCAACTGGGTGACATGTTGGCGATCAAGACATCGAGAGCTCCTTGCCAGAAGCATGCGTATCAGCACTGCCAGTATCTTGGACAAGAGACTGGATTTATCAGTTGGAATTCTATTTTGCTAGCCTCCTCCTGCTCTTTTTCCTCTAGAAATTGAACAAGAGCGACAATCGTATTATTCGGGTCTGCTCGCCCGTCGAAAGCGCACTGGTAGTGTCTAAACCAGCAGTTGTATCCGCAGACAGTCTGGAGACCCAGTAGACACTGGAGAGATTTGCGGAGTTTCAATTGACTCTTGTGGATGCCCCGCAGCTCACGGCGGAATTATATATCATGAGCCGGCTTTTATCTCCGTGATCCGGGTACAGCCGGCGGTAATGCCTGCCTGCGGATGCGGCGTCGTATTCGTTACCAGAGCTCGTCGTATTTCTCGCTTTTCGGATCACCTCCACATCATGGTTCCTTATGTGATATTAAATCTCTTATCGATAAGATAGAGATAAGGATGAAGGTATCGATAAAGAATGCCGAAAAGGTGCCGAGGCCATCCAATCAGACCGCTTCCAAAGGTGATTTCAGAGAACGGCAGCGGGAGCCCCACCCCGGCATCGGTCATTTCCCCACAGACTCCAAATTTTTGGATCCGGTTGCCGAACAGTCACGACCTTGACGACGTCGCGAATTACCGGAGACCAAATTGTTCAACTTTTGGCCATTGGCCTCTCCAATTGAAGTCGCAATGTTGCCCATTGTACGTGTGCCATCTCGCATCATTGCTCTTCCACAAGGAAGCTCTACTGACCTCCCGTGTTCTACAACAGAGAAGAACAGTGGCGCTCCACGCCGCCAGGAGCTGCCGTCGCAGTCTTCTGCAGCGCCAACTTCCCTCGCGATCGATCCGCCCCAGCTTCTACACGACGACGACCCGTCCCCGCCAGTATGCCTTTCACTCACAACTCGAAAACGCCGCGACCGCGACCGACTTCCTCTACACATCCGCCCCCAAGGTCGAAAACCCCCAGACGTTGACGGAGAAGATTGTCCAGCGGCACTCGCTAGGCCTCGCGCCCGGCAAGAAGGTCCGCGCAGGCGACTACGTCACCCTCTCTCCTGGTGAATACCCCTTCCAATCCCTTGTATACGCATAAGAATGCGATGAGCGCATCAGACTTACAATTGGGAAGGGAAGTGCATGTCCCATGACAACACGGCGCCCATCAGCAACAAGTTTGTCTCCATAGGAGCGACCAAGATTCACAACCCCTCACAACTCGTCTGGACCCTCGATCACGATGTCCAAAACAAGAGCGAGGCCAACCTGAAGAAATACAAAAAGATTGAGGATCTCGGCAAGCAGCACGGCGTGGTGTTCTACCCCGCCGGACGTGGAATCGGTCACCAGATCATGGTGGAAGAGGGCTACGCTTGGCCCGGTACCTTGGCTGTCGCATCAGACAGTCACTCCAACCACTACGGTGGTATCGGATGCCTTGGTACGGCGGTCGTCCGAACAGATGCCGCCGCCATTTGGGCCACTGGCCGCACATGGTATCAAGTTCCCCCTATTGCCAAGGTACAGTCGAGCGTTAGCCATTGCTCAGGGGTTCATCACTAATGTTGGTTCCTCAGATCACTTTGACCGGAGTCAAACCCCCTGGTGTCACCGGAAAGGACATCATCGTCGCGCTCTGCGGCCTGTTCAACAAGGATGACGTCCTGAACCACGCCCTCGAGTTCACCGGCTCCGAGGAGACCATGCGAAGCATCCCCGTCGACGAGCGGATAACAGTGGCAAACATGAGCACAGAATGGGGCGCCTTGTCCGCGCTGTTCCCCATTGATCAGACACTGGAAAGATGGCTCCGCGCCAAGGCCACCACCGCGGCGATGCTCAACACAGACGCCGCCGTCAAGGGCCGCTGGACCCACGAGCGCATCGACGAGCTCCTCGAGAACCCTCTAACGGCCGACGCCGGCGCGACATACGCCAAGTCCCTCTACCTGAACCTCGAGACCCTGTCCCCCTTTGTCGCCGGCCCCAACTCCGTCAAGGTCGCCACGCCTCTGAAGGACCTGGAGGCGCAGAACATCAAGATCGACAAGGCTTACCTCGTCTCTTGCACAAACTCGCGTGCGTCAGACATCGCCGCTGCGGCGCGCGTCTTCCGTGAGGCTGCTAAGGACGGACAACCCGCCAAGATCGCGCCGGGTGTTTCCTTTTACCTTGCCGCAGCTTCCACTGTTGAGCAGGCGGCTGCTGAGGAGGCTGGCGACTGGCAGACACTCATCGACGCAGGCTGCTCCGTATTACCTTCAGGATGTGGCCCGTGCATCGGTCTCGTAAGTTGATTGCCCCTTTCGCGTCGATAGTAAGGTACTAATGCATTTTCTTCTGTAGGGAACCGGTCTCCTGGAACCGTTCGTACTATTCTTTCTGCAATTACTTGGAGAACGACGGCTGACAAACATTCAGGGGCGAGAACGGAATCTCAGCAAGTAATCGTAACTTCAAGGGCCGCATGGGCTCCACCGAGGCCAAGGCCTACCTAGCCAGCCCCGAGGTCGTCGCCGCGAGTGCTTTGAACGGCAAGATCGCCGGCCCCGGCTGGTACCAGCAGCCCCAGGGCGTGGACAAGGTCATCATCGGTGAGGGTGTCGGTGACATCACCGCCGACATCGCCATGAGCATCGACGACGCCCTCGACCAGCTCATCGCGCAAGCCGACAGCATGATTGCCGAATCTGAGAAGGGAGTCGCCGGTGCTGCCGCCCCTGCTGCTGAGGAACCAGCTGCCGCCGCGGAGAGCGAGGAAGACAGCCTCACGGAGGTTCTCCCCGGATTCCCTGAAAAGGTCGAAGGCGAGATCATCTTCTGCGACCAAGATAACATGAACACGGATGGAATCTACCCTGGTACGTAAAGCGGAGAGTATTCACACTCTTGACTACACGAGCCTTCTAACAACAAAACAGGCAAGTACACCTACCAGGACAACGTCTCCGTCGAGAAGATGGCCGAAGTCTGCATGGAGAACTACGACACTTCCTTCCGCGACATCGCCAAGGCCGGCGACATCCTCGTGTCCGGCTTCAACTTTGGCACCGGCAGCTCCCGCGAGCAGGCGGCGACGGCCATCCTGGCCAAGAAGATCCCGCTCGTCGTGTCCGGCAGCTTCGGCAACATCTTCAGCAGAAACAGCATCAACAACGCTCTCATGGGCGTCGAGGTGCCCAAGCTCGTGCAGCGCCTGCGCGAGACGTTCAAGAACGAGGGCGAGGACAAGGTGCTCACGCGCCGGACGGGCTGGAGGCTCTGCTGGGACCTGAGGCGGTCCAAGGTCATCGTCACCGAGGGCAGCGGCGAGAGCTGGAGCGTCAAGGTCGGCGAGCTGCCGCCTAATGTGCAGGAGGTTATCGCCAAGGGCGGGTTGGAGGCTTGGGTTAAGGCTGAGATTGAGAAGTAAAGAATGAGATGGGGAGAACGGGTGGGCGAGGGAGACGAAAGATCGAGATGATCTTCACTTACAACACTGTTTTGAGTACTGCTATTGGGATACAACGGATGAGGCTTGTTTGTAGATTTGGTTTCTAAAAAAGAGTACGCAATACACCGGGGAGTTCAAAGTATCCTACAGATGACTTGACTGAATGGCTGTAAGTGAGATCTTCTCAGAAGCATCGAGCGCCCGTCAAACCAGTGATTCCCCTTGGAGCAGCTAAAAACGCAGTGAATTTCTTCACCTCTTTACCTGACATGAGTTTTGAGGATGAAGAGCCTCTCAGTGAGGATTAAAAATGCAGTGCTCACGCGCCGCTAATAAAATCAGAAAGCCTGCGTCGAAGCGTCTCCAATCCCCTCAATCTCTCCGGGGGGGTTAAAATTGCAGTGCTCCGCTCGATGTCGTCTGACTGAGACTCACTCGGCCGAAAGTTGGTACAGCTTGCTTCATGATCAAGGCGCTGCCGCGTGGGGGATGGTTCACATCGCCGATTACAAAATGGGCACAACTAGTAAATATATCTCTACTATAGTAACAGTAAAATGTCATAAAATATTTTTAAAATATTTAGAAGATACTTGAATCAGTTTTTAGATAACCTGGCATTTTTTGTGGAATATTTGAAGGTTTTTGGGCGGGAAAATGATGCTAATTCAGGAGAGATTGCCTGGAAAACGGCGGTCTAAACTGCCCCCCGTGTGCCCGCCAAACCAGACTCGGCCGAAGAGCAACCTCTGGGATATCAAGTACGGCTACCGCTGCATAAAACGATAAAGGGTCAAGAAAAGCACCGGTCGTATAGTGACGACGTCACAGGAACCAAGACGAAAAATCCCAGCCTGTGAAAATACCACTCCCATCCTGTCCAACGGGATTCGGATTTCGAGAACTCCTATACTTCCAAACATGGACCGAAGAAATATCACCGTCCTCCTGCTGATCCGGGCCCTGCTGATCTGATGTTTGGGCAGCAGTCCAGGTTCCCCCAATCGTCCCTCAACTTTCCTGACGCAAGCCAAAAAGGTGGAGTTTAACCGTTTGGCTTTCCCTTCTTGCTCGTTTAGCTCGCTTTCCTCAGGTCTAACGGAAAGCGAAAGCGAGGAATACGAACGTGCCAGGGCAAAGCGAGAGGGGTGATGTGATCCAACAAGCGAAAGGAAAGCTTGGTCAGAAATTCAGGTAGGTTTTATGCTTATCCATACACTACAAAGTTAAGGAAACCAGCAATGGCGTGGGGTAGAAGCGAATACGATTGCAATCACATCCCCAATCCCGCGTATCCTTCGTACGATCCTCTCACAAGGTGTTTAAATAGTGGCAGCAAATACGGAGTACGCGGGACAAATTCTTGGGGATTTTCAAAGAACCAGAAAAACAAGCTTTGTGACATTGGATCTTGCTTGGCTCGTTGCAACCCCATGGGATGGGTGGTGATCACCTGAGGGTGGGAGGGATGGTAAGATGGAAGGGATGGAAGGGGGGGGAGGAAACGATCTAGACCATGTCGCATTCGGACCCAGAACGAGCCAAGCCTCACAAGTCGCACATGGCTTCGGTAAGAGCAGACGACGAACATGGTCAGAAGAACGGGCAAGGGATGAAGAGACATGAGCAGAGTTCCCAACTACGAGTCTTTTGTTTTCTCTCTCATTGATCTGACGAGGTTGACCATCTCACGACGGCGCATCAAACATACCTAGCCCATCAACCTCGGGACTCGACCCACGATCCTCCGCGCTGCCATCTTTCTCTCCTTCAGCCTCGGCAGGCACGACGGCCAAGGGCCTCTCGGTAGCAACCAGCGCCCTCCTCTTCGTCTTCTTCATCAGCACGTTGTGCCGCCGGCTCTTGACGTGCTTTGTCCAATCCTGCTCTGTGACGCACGTCGTCTTGCAGACCTCGCACGTCCGCCGACACAGCGTGCGCTCCGTCTGCGCTGTTGCTTCCCTGAGAACCTCCCGCGCCATCTCCGACAAGTCCGCGGGCGCGGGCATGGCCTCGCCCTCGAGGAATCGCTTTGCGACATCGACGGCTGGTTCGGCGACGTTGGACGACCATTGCGACACGTCGGTGCTGTTCATGACGAAGAGGTGATCCAGCGCACCCGGTTGCTCTTGGAGAAGAGGCACAATCTTGGTGCGGATCCAACGCGTTTGGTATTTTGCGTACTGTCGGGTTGATGTCTTCATCTCCTCAAGCCCCGCGGCTCTGAGAGCGTCCAACGTCTCCGAATCGGTGGCAGGATCGCTCGTGTTCAGGGCCTTAAGGTAAGGCGAGAACTCCTTGAAGCCGATCGACTGCCAGATACCGCGGGTGTAGTCCACCTCTTGGCCAGCGGCCTCCTTGGCCTGGACGTATTCATACATGGATTGTGTCTCGTCGTTGAGGCCAACGGTGAGCATCTTGTCCACGCGTTTATCGAGGCGCTCCTTAAGCACGTCCGGCTCGGAATACACCCAGAAGAGCAGTGTTTGCCAAGGGCTTGCACTGCCACCACCGTCGGGCGTGTTCTCGGCTGTCTTGCGCTGGCGCTGCTCTGCGTAAATCTCCGACGCTGGACGGCCGTGTTGGAGGTATATGTGCAGCGAGCGCGAGATCTTGCGCCGGTCGTTGGGATGCCACCGGTCCGCCATGACGGGATCGACTTCGCGCAGCTTGGCGAGTATGACCTCGGTGGGTTCGTTCAGAATCGGAAACGAAGATGCGTCTTCGTCCTTGACGTCTGCAGCGCCGTCTTTGGCTTTCTCATCTTCAGGGCCGATGAGGGTGTCTTCAAAGAGCAGCGCATTGGTGTAGTAGTGCGTTCCGCCGACGACGATGGGCAAGTTGCCCCGGCTGCGTATCTCACGGATGACCCTGTTCGCTTCGCGCTTGAAGTCTTCGACTATCCAAGTGGGCTCGTCGAGGCCAATGTGATCGAGTAAGTGGTGAGGGACACCGCGGCGTTCTTGGGTGGTGATCTTGTTCGTGATGATGGGCAGGCCTTTGTACATTTGCATGGCGTCTGCGTTGATGATTTCGCCATTGTAGCGAGTCGCAAGTTCGACTGCGAGCTGCGCACGGACACTGTCAGCCAATACGCATGGTAACGATACGACTGCTTCCTCAACTCACCTCTGATTTTCCAGTTCCGGTCGATCCCAAGATAACCACCAAGGGTTCCGCGGGCGCATTTCGGGCTGTCATGTTGCCAACAACATTGTGTATGAACCTTCGGCCTATCACAGACCGAAAGATCATACCCAGAGAACCACCGAGAAAGGACACGAGGGAGGTTTACAGCATCGCGACTGCAGATGCTGTTTCGTGTCCTGTGGTGGTGAGTCTTGGGTGACTCGGTGATGACTCTGAATGGTGACAGTTAGGTACTCCAAATTCTGGAGGAGATTGGGAGGCAGGTGGCATCAGAATGCGTCGGAACGCGCCAGAAGAAAAAAAGTTTAGCGGGCAGGCACTGGATTGGGTGGGCGCTGGGATCCCTGAAGACCCCTGGCTGGAAGCTCGAGCCGAAAATGTGGAGGAGCACAGCTTAAAGCTGTCCCCTGAATTCCCCAATTCCTAGGTCATTTTAGGAGGTAATAGGTACTCTACGTAGTAAGGTAAAGGCACTGAGTGATTGGACGCATCACGTGTTCTGACAAAGCTCCACCAAAATTTTGGACACATCGACAATTTGGCGTTTTTGAAGCCAGATCGCAGCCGACCCTCTTTTTTGGGCTTCCCTCCCGCTCCTCTTGCTCCCTCTCCCCTTAATAACCTCCTCTCTCCATCTCCCCATCACCACTACTCCTCACCCCCTTCGCCACAACCTCTGGAGCCATTGTCGCTCTCTATCTCTCTCTCTCTTCTTTCCCCTTCTTCATCTGGATGAATTAATCCTTTTGTTTATTGATTTCTGCCCAGTGTAACAGCCCATCATGAGTTCCCGTAAGTTCATCCACCTAACCTCGTCAACCTCCGCGAATCGCGTGCTTTGGGGCGCATAGCTCCAAAAAGGACACGCGCGCGATATCTGTCGCCAACGATGCCTCCGCGATGGCCAACGAGCAACCACATCTTACTAGGACAACTCAATGGCTAACCAACGCGCTTTCGCATCACAGTACGGTTCCTCGACCTGGTCAAGCCGTTCGTGCCGTTCCTCCCTGAGGTTCAGCAGCCGGAGACCAAGGTTCCCTTCAACCAGAAGCTGATGTGGACGGCCCTCACCCTCCTCATCTTCTTGGTCATGAGCCAGATGCCCCTGTACGGCATTGTCTCTTCCGACAACTCGGATCCCCTATACTGGCTGCGTATGGTTATGGCGAGTAACCGCGGAACCCTGATGGAGCTGGGTATCACTCCCATCATCTCCTCCGGCATGGTCTTCCAGCTCCTCGCTGGTACCCACATGATCGACGTCAACCTCGACCTCAAGAGCGACCGCGAGCTGTACCAGACCGCCCAGAAGCTCTTTGCCTTCATTCTCTCCGCCGGTACCGCCACTGTCTACGTCTTCACCGGTCTCTACGGCCGACCTTCCGACCTTGGCGCCGGTATCGTCTTCCTCCTCGTTCTCCAGCTCTTCGTTGCTGGCATGATCGTCATTCTCCTTGACGAGCTCCTCCAGAAGGGATACGGCCTCGGCTCTGGTATCTCTCTCTTCATCGCCACAAACATTTGCGAGTCCATCATGTGGAAGGCCTTCTCCCCCACCACCATTAACACCGGTCGTGGCCCCGAGTTCGAGGGTGCCGTCATTGCCCTTTTCCACCTTCTCCTCACCTGGCCCAACAAGCAGCGCGCTCTCCAGGAGGCCTTCTACCGCCAGAACCTCCCCAACATCATGAACCTTCTGGCCACCATCCTCGTCTTCGCCGCTGTCATCTACCTCCAGGGCTTCCGCGTCGAGATCCCCGTCAAGTCCTCCCGCCAGCGTGGTGCCCGCGGCTCTTACCCCGTCCGCCTCTTCTACACCTCCAACATGCCCATCATGCTGCAGTCCGCTCTGTCCTCCAACATCTTCCTCATCAGCCAGATGCTGTACTCCCGCTTCTCTGACAACCTCCTCGTCCGTCTTTTCGGTGTCTGGGAGGCCAAGGACGGCTCTGCTCAGCTCTCTGCCATCTCCGGTCTGGCTTACTACATGTCTCCTCCCCTGAACTTCAAGGACGCCCTCCTCGACCCCATCCACACCGCTGTCTACATCGTCTACATGCTGGGTGCCTGCGCCATCTTCTCCAAGACCTGGATTGAGGTTTCCGGCTCCAGCCCCCGCGATGTCGCCAAGCAGCTCAAGGACCAGGGTCTTGTCATGGCCGGTCACCGCGACCAGAGCATGTACAAGGAGCTCAAGCGCATCATCCCCACTGCCGCTGCCTTTGGCGGTGCTTGCATCGGTGCTCTCTCCGTTGCCAGCGACCTCATGGGCGCCCTCGGCTCCGGCACTGGTACTCTCCTGGCTGTCACGTAAGTTTCCGTCTGTCCAAAGTCTACAAGAATAATTACTAACGAGCATCTAGCATCATCTACGGCTACTTCGAGATTGCTGCCAAGGAGGGTGACCTGTCCGGCATGAAGGGCATGATTATGGGATAAATATTGCCAGTCAACGCGACCGACATGTCCCCTTTTCAGATATATCGAAGCTTCTTCCTTTGTTTACGCGAGGCTTCCAGCGGCCATTATACGAATGGCGGCTTCCTGTGTAATAACACGGCATACATTATTATAAAAAAGTCATGATGATGTCTTCAATTATTGGAGAACAAAAGCAATGGGTTTACACGGTGATGGGTTCAAGGTAGCATTAGGGACCGGGCGTGCCACTCTCGTGGAGCATCTCGATGAAGAACGGCGGGACGATAAGGCTACTGCAGATTGCCACAGGACATGTCGTGGGCCTAAGTATCCCGTCCGCGCCCGTCTACCGAGACTTCGCGCTGTAGAGTATTGTATCTAAGACCATGTATGCGAACAAATCCATTCCACGCACCTCAATGTTTACTTCACAGTGTCTCCATCTATATGCCGTGACCGCTGGTGTCTGCTGTATTATATATCATAAACTTGCAGTGTAAGGACCCCTATTCTAAGCAGGTATAATAGAGCACGCGTTGTCAGTCGTGATGGCCCGATTAGCAGCCAAAGTTTCTATCCAGATTAACACTTCAGGTTGACGGACCCTGATCCCCTACTGTCCGAATACGCAGGACCTATGACTTGCTCAAATGATATTTCTCCGTTGATTGTTCTACTCAAGTGTGAGAGCGAGTGTTTCTTTGTGTCAGTTTCAGAGGGTAGATTCCTATCCAGCATCCTTTCACAGTCGTCATTGAAGAGAATCTGGGACCTCTCAAGAGCCTATAAGAAGAGAAGTAATTTTCAACAAAGATACCAAAAACAGCAGAAGCAACATCTCAAATTTTCCATACACGCATCCTCCTCCATCTCATGGTTACGTTCAAACATCGTTGTTATTGCTCGTCTAAATAGAACATGTTAGCTATCTTCGCGTATACTAGCCTCCGTTCAACTCGATAGGATCAATGTGAATGTGTGTAAAGATGAACGGAGTAGTAAAAGACTTTGTAATCTCGTAAAGATCAGCCAAAATAGTTGACTTAACCTTTGAGACGACAGTAGTAACAGTATTGGACGTAGCTTACTTCAACTTAACACAGGGTATTAGGACGCGTTGAGTAATTAATAACTTGCGGTCGTATACTTATGAACTATCTTCCTTTATACTTATTATCGTCTCATGTCTTAGCTATCCCCTTTTATCAAAGCTATCTTCCTTTATCCCAGCTACCTTGTATCCCTAGCTGTCCTCCTACCACCCGACACAACGAATACGTCCGTGTGCGACGATGAACGATGTGGTGAATGACTACCCGAAGTTCGCCTCTGCTTGATATGGAGTATTAAGACATACCTTGAATAATCAGAGGCCTGCGTCCACTTCACCTTGCCTGCTTACGCGGTCCCTGTGGCTGCGTTTTACTCCGTTTGCTGCTGCTGCTCCCGCCTCCCGCATCGCAGTTCAGCCACGTAACTGGGACTTTTGATGAGTCCTGTCACACTTTTATAGAGTAATAGCTCGAGCAGAGCTTGCTGCTACTGGTTCACGAACGGCAGCCACAGCCAAAGTACCTCGTCTTGGCGGTCTTCCTAGGTGTTGTGAAACATGTAGTCCTTGAAGAATAGCCCGGCCTGGGTTAGATACTTGCGCGCCGGTCATAGGTGTCTTTCTCATGTAGTGAACTCCAGGAGATCAGCAGAGAAGCCAACTCTCCACGCCGTAACCTCCGCTATCAAAGACATAAAGATGGCAAAAGCCAAATCTTTACATGTGATACTACAGCGTTGTCGAGCGCAGTCTATTGGATCGTGGCATATATCTGTCTTAGAGTAGCGTCGTTTTTGAGAAGCAATATCTGGGATAGGAGACCCAATCGTTTGCGGATGAATCGAGGGTACAATGATCTTGTATCGAATATGCAACTTTGGTCATTCAAACATGTCATGAACAGGCCCCGGAGGGAAAATACACCTCCTAATAGTGAGGTAACTAATACAGGTAAATCAAGCAAGGAGGGGTTAGGTTGTCTTTGGAAAGCTACGAGTGTAGTTACACAACACGAAAACTTGAGCATAAGAAACTCATATGTTATCTCACGCAAAACGAGGAGCATGACATGGAGACTCGTACTCTCCAAAGATCTTATCTCCCTCTTTGGCCCCCAAACTCCTCGGGCCCCCCCTTCCATTACAACGCGGTGTCATGCTGACTAGCCTCGCCTCGCTCTCAAATCCACGTCCAAACGATCCACATGGGGGAAGACAGGGACTCTACAACAAGAAGGTCGATATCTCCCCAACCCCCCTACCCCGGCGAAACCATTGTTGGTTTAGCCAAAAGATTTCCCCCCTGCAGAGTACATTTCAAAAACTCACGTCAGCATAGTAACGAGAACCGCCATTCGCCGGGCATCTCTTCCTCGTCCTGCAGGCTCGCGTTCATCCACGAGAGAGCGGGCGGGCAACGACATGACAAGGGGGGAAATTACAACAAATCACAACATGTACGAAAGTTCCCTCTCGGCCTCCTCGCAAAAATGACAATTTGTACATACAGAGTCCGGTGCCCAGGTTACTGTCCCCCGCCTCGCGCCTGCATACTGTGATCCCTCCGCCTCCCCGACGTTAATCGGCATGGTGATTGTGGCCTAGTCGTGTCGACAATGGCTTTGCTTCTCGGCACGAATGGAGCAGGAAGCATTGCCCAATGAATGGTACCAAATCATGGGTTAGGGTAGTTGCGAGTGTCTCGGCGTGGGGGGGACAGGCCAAACTGTCCTTGGCCAGCCTCGGGAATGGGTAGCGCGTCACCGCGTCTACGCTTGAGATGGGTCACTGGGTGCGTCGATCGATAGCATTTTTTGAGACTGCCTTAGGTATACGCCTGACGTTGTGTCTGTTTTGATGACCTCTGCTAGGTTCAAAATTTGACGGCTTAGTGGCGGCTGGGTTGAGGTGTGCTTTGATCTTGAGAGCTCTACAGAACTTGGGGTGGGTTAGGCGATTTATATCCACGAACAACCGAAATATCTGCTCGGACAAGTGATGTCACCGCTAACGTTGACGCTCTGTCTTCTACCAGATATGCATGCGAAGATCGGACACACAGAGGGAATTGGATGGCTGGCTTGTTGACGTTGAGATATACATACATCGCCCCGGGTGGAACAGCACCAACTCCGGCAAATTACTTGGCGGCAGATGCTGCAAATCAAAACCTTGAGGCATCTAGGTGATGTATCCGTAGCCTACTCTGCTCCAAAGAGGAAACCACAACTTCTACAAGAAACCGGCAGCTATGGGATCGCAAGGGGCTTGCCGAGTACCGACGCGCGGTCACCTGTCTTGGGAAGACCTGCCGGCCAAGGGAATCGTGACTCGCAAGAAATGAGATTGCGTGTCTCAGATTCCATTGCTCCGCCAGATTCTTTATTTGATACTGCTACAGAGCAGTCTCCTACCCAAGGGATACAGACGTCTCCTGAGATACACATGCCTGGCTCCGTTCTGCAGCACACAGTGAATGCCAGGTCTCATTCCTCGACTCAGACGACGATCGAGATTGAAGGCCAGACCCGAGAATACGGAGGTGAAAAGTTTGGGATGGAAGACACACGTGTTGCCTTACACAACGCTTCTTGGCATCAGGAGACGATGGGGACATATATTGGAGGAGCGGTCCCCTGACAGAAAGATTATCTGATTGATAATGTGATCCTGTGGCCAGGATCTGGTCGAGTAAGAAGAGGCCGATCGCCCAGGTGGGCACGGACAAAAGCCGCCAAGATGTGCGATGTACAGATACAAAATGACTGATTTTCTGTCGGTCAACAAGGAGGCATCACAGTCTTGCGAAGAGAGCGGCTCTTGACCTGTGAAAGTGAGAGGATGACTGCGAGGGCAAGCAATCCGAGTGGGTGAAGTACAGCAATGGGTGTGCCATTCGGCCATGATCAGCGCAGAGTAGGTAGGAAGACCGGAGCTACCTTGGCTGGTAGTCGATATCCAGGATGATATGATGTACTTTAGAGTTCCCCGGACAGTAGTTCGTCTTCCTGACCGCATCTGCGCTGTAACGTCAAAAGAGGAGAGAAGTGACAGGGCTTCGTCGACGACCCTGCGCTTGGAGAGAGGGAACAGTTCCCCGGGCCAGGAGAAGGACAGGTCGGAGTTGAGTAAGTGGGTGCACAGCTCGGAGCCGCCGCAACGCCGAAGCCATCATTGCAGGCTTGCGTGCTGCAAGCCGTTGAACACGCGAGGCCCGCCTCTTATCGAACAATGGTTGGGCCAATCATGAGCTACCGGGACGGTGATGGTTGACTTGTAGCGCCTTCAACCCCCGCAACCATGCCATTGTGTGCTTCAGCCGGCTGCATGTATGCACAGGATGAGACTAAGAAATAGTATCCATTGGTGTTTCCCTCCAAAGGGCCGCAGCCATCGGGTGGTAGCGTCTTCTCCAAGTTGTAGCCGTGTCGAGTTGGTGGTGGTGGTGGAGGGTGACAGGGTCCAGTTGACAGAATGGTGTTTGTTGTGGGCGGTCCCGAATGGCGGTGAAGGTGAGTCAGAAGCCGTTGATATGTAATTTCTTTGTGGTGGCCGAGTGCCGTTCTTTTGAGATGGACTATGGACCTGGGGGCCACGATAGAGACGAATTTGGGACGGGGGTTGTAGCAAAGGATCGGGTTCCCTAGCATTATCTTGCCTCAACGGGAAGGTCGAGCATTTGGCAGTGATGGTGCCTGGAGATGCGGGCTTATGGGGGCTCGATTAGTCGATTCCGATTTCTAGAGGGTCGAGTCCAGACATGCTGAGTCCAAGCGATGTTGCGTGATTCGCCCGGGCTACCTTTGTCCTGAAAGACAAACAATTGAGGGGTTTTGGGGTGCATTGCAGAGAGCAGCCGCGTGATGAACGGATAAGCAGATCGATTGATGTGATTGGAGTCTACTGGCAGGTCATGAGGCTTCGGTTTCGCCATGGGGAATGCGCGCCTATCGTTCTTTGGAGTCTGGCCTGGATCGCGGAAACCTTTGCCGGCGTTCCTGATACTGAGGACGTTCATTGTTTGCTATTGCTTGGGTCCATTCTGTCGAATTTGTCAAAGCCTGGGCTGTGAGCTCAACCCATCGTATGGAAGCAGTTCTTCTCGTGCTATTTGATGCTCCACCAGCTTGGAAATTTGCGAGGCATGACAGGACGCTTCCGATGTCCTACGCCGTCCCAGCTTGCATCCGGAGGCAATCTTCCAATGCGGTCAGCACATAGTATCGGGGGCACTGGGTGTCGGGCAAAGAGCTGCACAATGCATCCGTAGTGGTTGCAGGCCAAGTTGGCTTCTGACGTTGGCGGCGGGAGCGGCAGCGGAGACGGCGTACCGCATGTTCCTGGGCCTGGGCCGGGAGAGTTTGGA